AGCCCAAGTCTTCCCAAGGCCGGCCCTGTGACCAACCTGGGTGCCATCCTCCTGTCCGTTGAGGTGATCTTCCACCTCTGCGCTGAGGCGATTGACTGAGCCCTGAGCGATTCGGCAGGGGAACTTGACCCCTACCTCCCTCTTGACGGTTCCTTTGACCACCAACCCCCTGTGCGCCCGGACCTCGACCACCCATGGCCCGGCCCGGCCCCCTTGGCCCTGGCCTCCTCCTCTACCTTGCGGCCTCCCTCCAGCCGCGACAGCAGCGTACGTCCTCCCTTGACCTACAGTATTGTCCTCCTCTTCTAGCCCCCACTCAATCTGACTACAGGGGACTTCGTCCCTTCCACTTCTTTCGCTTGTCCAAGTCCTTATGCCAGAAAGTGGAAATTGGCATGGACTTCGCCTCGAACAGGACCACTTCTCTACTTAACGCATCATACGTAATATTGGCCTGTTGGGTCTTGTCAAAGAAGTGCCCTCGCATGGGCTCTGGCATGGCACGATAAAACAAGTGAACTAACTGGGTCTCTGTGACCCCGTGATCGAGTGCCCTCGCACTCTTCCACTGCCTAGAGTGGATGGTTTGCAGCTTATCAGAGGGTTTGATGCCTCTTGTGACGTCAGTGAACCTCTCTCTCAAAAGTCTGAGGAACGTGGGAAGAGGTGTGAGCTTAGAGTACGCAACCATATTGTGCTCACAATCGGCTGCGCGCAAGGGACCTGGCAAAGTTGGCCGCTTCATCCTTTAGCGCATGGAAGGCCACGAGGACTTGTTCCTCTGGCGTGCTGTGTTGCAAATACACGTATGTGTTAACACTGGCCTCCCAGTTATCAAAGTTGGCGTCCTTTTTCCCTCTATAAGAATCAGGGAATTTGAGCTTAACAGGCTCCTTGCGGGGACGACTCTCGCTTTCAGCCGCGGCTACTACGTTGGCGCCCTCAATGGCACCTGCGCAGAATCTGTTTGCGCCTTCCTTCAGTCTCTTAACTTTCGTCCCGACATGAGTCACCACGTCGCGCGCAAACTCTCTAAACCCAGTCCGGATGGAATGAAGGGCCATATCTTGGCCCCGGACAGACTGATGATGTTCAGTCCAGGCGTGGCCTAGGAGCTCAATGCTCCCAAGAATCTCATCCAACTTAGCCTGTATATCAGGCTGGGACGCTACTTCTTGTCTACACGATTGCAAACTCTCCACTTCCCTGGCCATCCGGTTAGCCTCCTCCATTCTCCTCTTCTTCTCTCTCGCCACACGCAATTTCCATTCCAACTTTTTCTCAATCTCTATTGTCTGGCGTTCCACGGGATCGCTTGCTGCTTACTTCTCCTCCGGTGGTACATACAACATCGCCTCCTCATCTTCTCCCAAAGATAAATTAGCCACCCACTCTGAGATCTTCTTCTCCACCCACAGGTCATCCTGCTTCGTGCCACTGCTCTCTCCTTTGGCCCCCATGCCTCTTCTTCTGAGGGGCTCTTCTTCAGGCTGCTCCTCCCCCTCTTCAATCTCTTCTTCTTCAACAGCTCTCATTTTCTCTTCCTCCTCCTGTTGTATCCTCTTCATCTCCTCCTCCAACTTTTTCTTCTTCGCCACCTGCTCCTCCGCTATTATTTTTAACTTCGCCTGCTTAAGGAGCTCTTTCTTCTCCCTCTTCTCTTTTCTCTCTTTCAAGATGGCGGCGGTTTGCTCCTCTTGCGCCTGGGTGTAAGGGGTAGTACTCTTTCCACTACGGAGGTCAACCATGGTGTCAGGTGCACAACTGGATAACAGTTCCACTCCTCACTACTTAGACTTCTACCCCCTGACTAACACAACCTAACTGACTCAATCTATGGACCACAGAATCCGGATAGGATCCTGTCAACTAGGGTCACTAGCCTAGACCTAAGCTATGGCCGTCACTACAGGACTCACTGCTGATCATAAGGCATTTAAGGAGATCCCCCGTAACTCCTCAGGAATTATTTAACGTCGCAGACAGAACGACGCGATCAGCAAGTCCTCTCAAGACTTAGACAGCCTGATGTGCAGCCCACAGCTCGGATTTTGGGCCTACCGTGCCACACCGAGCAGCCCGCCGGTCAGTACCGGTCCTTGGGAGGGTTTGTGTCCTCCGGGACAGTCGAGTCGTCACAAACAGTCTTTAGCCCTACTCAGCCCGTGTGGGTTTGGTCAACAAGGCCCTATCCTTCATACACAGAGTTCCTACACCTGGACAGAAGAGACTCGATGCAGA